AGCTGGGTTTTGGATCCCAAACACCCAAGGGACGAACCCTAGAGAGAGAGAGAGCGACTTGGAAACATTCTTGGAGCTATTTTGGAGGATTTCTTCGCCATTGGAGCTCGGGAATCAAGCTTGGAGATGGAGATTGAAGATCTAGATCAGATTTCTGCAGTCTCTCTCTTCTCTATGGAGTAACTTCCCTTCACTTAGGTTTTGAGGAACCCTAGTTCCATGAGTTAGGATCTTTCTTGTATGAAGTTTTGGATGCTTTATTGTTTGATTATAATCGATTGAGGCATGATTTATTGAGTCAATTGAATCTTGATCAAATTCTCTTGATTTCTGCTTTAACCTATGATAGATAGAATCTGATTAGGTTGTTAGAGTCCCTTCATTCGATAGTAGGAGATTGGCTATACGAGAGTTAGCCAGTTTACTGCTTTGTACTGGAATCCAATTCCGGTAGTGGAGTTCTGTGTTCATAGCCTCAGCTTTCTATCCTGGTGAAGACTAGTCGTCTGCCAGGTAGTTGGACTGAGAGGGCTTGGTCAGCTTAAGAGATTCCAAGCTAATTTAGGATCTTCCGCAGTTTAATCAACAGTAGATCAACCAAAGGTAATTGGAACTTGGACCTAATTGAGGAGCTAGGGGGAATCATACCTAAGTGAGTTCCCAACTTGTAATTAGTAGAGTAGTCAGTAGAGTAGTTTATCAATCAATCCTTAATCTAGTTTGCTAGATAATGAACTGAAGCTGAGTAATAGTAACTCTAGAGACCCGTGGATTCGATATTTATTACTTGTGCCACTATACTGCAGTCCCTTTCATTGGTTACACTTGGCCATTGTTAGGTGTTGTGTTTTGGCGTGTCAAGTTTTTGGCGCTGTTGCCGGGGACTTTCTAGATTATTAGGAAAGGCAGAAGTTTGTTACTTTAGCATTTTTCTTTTGTTTTCCACCTTGCTTTTCACTTGGGTGTTTTTGTTTTTGTTGGTGCAGATCTGAATCATGGATCCTCATGGCTTCTCCAATCATTGGGGGTATCCATCACCATCCGAGTGGTATTATCCCGAGACTCCCTGTAGCAATCAAGGAGGAGAAGACTATGGATTCGGGTTCCAGTACCAACCCCCTTTCTACGGAGAACAATCAGACCCCTGGGCATATCAAGAACAACCTCCTTATCGAGAAGAATTTCTCCCACAACCAGAGGGGCCATTGGAGCTGGAGTTACCCATGGCGGCCTTCACGGGCCATTCTGCAGAGCCATGCTACACTCCACAGCCAGATCCAAACTATGAATTGAGGCTTCTCATGGAGCAGTTTGCTCGAGACTGTGAGAGATCATGCTCCAGGATGGATCATTGTGTCCAGGCCTATCGTGAAACAGAGGAGATTCTCCTGAGCCTTAAAAAGAGCGTCGATGATCTTGAGCGATCTTGTGCACAACCTGCTCTAGATCACCCTTATGTTACCATACTAGAAGAGGAGGAGGAAGAAGAAGGCTACAAGGACATTGTGGAGCACACTGAAGCTGTCACGGAGAGCTCTCATGATGATCATGATCAGGAATGTCCTATCATAGCCGACCACACCTTCCCACATCCCACACCGAGCTTTGAAGAGGCGGGCATGAGTGAGGAGATGCAAGAAGATCTCATGAAAGAAATTGCTTGGCAACTTGCTCTCCAATCCGTGCTAGAAGAAGAAGAGCAAGAAAGGGTGCAGAAAGAAGTTGTGGAGGATGACGAAAGTGAAGCAGGAGGAGTTCTTGATCATTTCCCAGGGGTGATACCACATGTAGAAGAAAGGGAGGTTGAAGAAGAAATTGGCGTCCAGGGTGAGGACGGAGTTAAGGTGGAAGAGGACTGCACCGGCCATGAGTTACATTTGATATCTCCACCAAACTTCGAGGAACTACTTAGCAAGGACCCATTTGTAGTGTCTCTTTGCCAGACCAAGGCCACATCGACATCGATCCCTCTTGGTGGACGCGATGGTGGCCAATCGATGCTGTCTTATCTGGTTTGGGGCAATGAGACGAGAGAAGAGAAGAAGAGGTCTCGAGGGTGGAGACTTCATCTGCATCAAGTGCACGAGCCTTCATCACCTGCCACACCACCTGCTTGTGACTTGAGACTCCACCTCATAGATGAAAACCTCAACTTCAAGGAGGTTTTAGCATGGACCGAAACTTAGGAGCCATCGTCCAGCTCACGACGTGAAAGAAGCGCTTGTTGGGAGGCAACCCAACCAGTCGGTTTGCATTTCCTTCTCTATTTCTCCTCGGTTGAGTCAGTTTTGTTATTTGATTTTACAGTCAATAACTCAACCTTTGTGAGATTTTGTGTGGTGTTTGTGTTCTGATTACTCTCTCTTCCTGGAATGCACCGCCTGACCCGTACATCATCATTCACTCTTGATCTGGTAACTTCGTTCTACCCTCCTTATCTTTCCTCCATTGAGGACAATGTCGTGCTTAAGTGTGTGTGGGGGAGGGGGTGTTCGATTATGTATGCGGGTGAATGTTTGGCTGTTTGTGTGCTTGGAGCCTAGTCCACTGTCCAAATTTCGATTTGAGGGCTCCAAGTACGTGTTTCCTTGCAAATTGCCTGCTCAGTATGCTTTGAATTGACAGTCTCTATAGTAATGTGCAACCTAGGGAGGTAGTGTAGCACTATGGAGGATGTTGAAGTATAAGATTTTTCCTATCTAGCTCTCTGCTGTGTCAGTTGATTTTGTGAATTAGTGGAGCTAAGACCGTTGAATTCATGTGGTAATGTGGACTCTGTTTGAATTGTGTTATGACTCGTGTATCGAACATGGTGCTCATGTGAGAAATGAAAAGCAGTTGGTCCTCCATGTCGAAATCATTGAAATCTTAAACATGGGGTAAGCCCAACGTGTGTGGCACCGTTCATTGCACAAAATCGGGAGATTTTAGTGATCCTTAGTGGGGTACTCCTACAAGGTGAAGCTAAGCTGTCTCTAGTACAAGTAAAACTTCCACCCGTTGAGCGGTTTGCCTACTCGAGGATGTGTTTTTAAAGGCACGGATAGAGCTTCCGACCCCCCTTAATTCCATTGACCCTCCACACGAGTTGAGGAAAAGGAGTTAAAAGAAGTACCCTGGCGAGCGCCAGGTGTACAGAAATTGCTCTTGCTCGACTAATAAGGGTCGACCGTGCAAAAGACTGCAGTTGGAACCCCTGCTAAGTGAAAGAAAAAAAAACAAGGAAAATGTGAATGAAAGTGCAAAAAGGGGTTCCAACGGTGAAATGAAGTGAAAGAGCACCCCGGTACAACGAGTCCTTGGTTGTGAATGGTGTGAGTCCCTTTATCCATGAACTGACTGTCTTACTTCTACTTTTTCTCATGATCCTGGCTTGAGTCTAGTACTCGCATTGAGAGAGATAGGGAACGTCTTCGAAGACCAGTTGACCTCGTAAGCTGCTATATGATCTAGGAAATCCTCTACCGACAATCGGGGTTGTATGTTGCTATAGAGCTCTGGAGAGCTGCATTGGTTTGAGTTAGGTTTGCTTGGGGACAAGCAAACAGTTAAGTGTGGGGGGATTTGATGACTCGGTATTTGCACATGTTTTCCCCCTTGTTTCTTGATTGTTTGAGCTTAAATTATCGCGTCTTTGGCCTATTTTATGCTAGGTTGTGTTCCTTTGTCACATTTCAGGTCCTAGCACATAAAGTGAAGCATATGCGCAAGTTTCAAGTCAATCAGAGATCAATTGACGATTCGAGAGAAGAAACTCGGGCATGACATGAAGAAGAATGGATTTCTACCTCACTTTATGGACAAAGAATCATGCAAGCTTGTCATGAAAAGAAAGAGGACGAGACTACGAGCGTCTGGGATCAAACGGCGACTGAATCGGAGGTCAAACGAGCTCAAACGAGATCAACGAAGCTTAGGAGTGCATGCTGGAAATTGTGCACGGCCAAAACCTCAATTTGCACGGCCGTGCAAGTAGGGGGTGCGAGTTTCAGCGGGTATAAAAGCTGTTTTGCGATTTTTGGAGAGGGAGAGCTGGGTTTTGGATCCCAAACACCCAAGGGACGAACCCTAGAGAGAGCGAGCGACTTGGAAACATTCTTGGAGCTATTTTGGAGGATTTCTTCGCCATTGGAGCTCGGGAATCAAGCTTGGAGATGGAGATTGAAGATCTAGATCAGATTTCTGCAGTCTCTCTCTTCTCTATGGAGTAACTTCCCTTCACTTAGGTTTAGAGGAACCCTAGTTCCATGAGTTAGGATCTTTCTTGTATGAAGTTTTGGATGCTTTATTGTTTGATTATAATCGATTGAGGCATGATTTATTGAGTCAATTGAATCTTGATCAAATTCTCTTGATTTCTGCTTTAACCTATGATAGATAGAATCTGATTAGGTTGTTAGAGTCCCTTCATTCGATAGTAGGAGATTGACTATACGAGAGTTAGCCAGTTTACTGCTTTGTACTGGAATCCAATTCCGGTAGTGGAGTTCTGTGTTCATAGCCTCAACTTTCTATCCTGGTGAAGACTAGTCGTCTGCCAGGTAGTTGGACTGAGAGGGCTTGGTCAGCTTAAGAGATTCCAAGCTAATTTAGGATCTTCCGCAGTTTAATCAACAGTAGATCAACCAAAGGTAATTGCAACTTGGACCTAATTGAGGAGCTAGGGGGAATCATACCTAAGTGAGTTCTCAACTTGTAATTAGTAGAGTAGTCAGTAGAGTAGTTTATCAATCAATCCTTAATCTAGTTTGCTAGATAATGAACTGAAGCTGAGTAATAGTAACTCTAGAGACCCGTGGATTCGGTATTTATTACTTGTGCCACTATACTGCAGTCCCTTTCATTGGTTACACTTGGCCATTGTTAGGTGTTGTGTTTTGGTGTGTCAGTACCCAGAAAGTTTTCAATTGGGCCAATGATGGCCCGAACAAGAATATTCCAGTCCGTCTTCCTTCCCTGCTGCAAGCGAAGTGTGTCATTTACTCATGTTCAACGGATAACAAAACCAAGTATTGTAGAAGAAGAAGAACAGACAACTATTAACTGATTAAGTAGCAAAAATGGCAGCCGCATCTGGTTCGCAACCAAGGCTTCTCTCGTCCTTCGCCGGCGACCGTCTTCTCCCTTCCAGATTACCCCTCCCTCATCTCTTCGGCTACAAAACAGGTGCTTCTTCCTTCTCCCTTGTTTTTCTTCCCCGTCTTTATGGTTCACTTCCCGCGTGAACTTTAGTCTAGGAAAAGTTACTCGCGACCTCATAATTACTGCTAGCTTGGAGCTATGTTCTTACAGAAATGGTTTATACACGCCCATAAAAAAAAAAAAAATGGTTTATACACTTTCGTTTGGATTTCTGGAGCTAGCTGTTTCTCTCGCTATAGACTGTAACTTGTCCTGTTTGCCCATGAATTTATCTCTCTTTCCATTGTCACAGACTAAGCGAATTGTTTCTGTCCGGAGCTTCGGCTCTACGACTTCATATGCTGATTACTTCCATGGGTTTGTGTGCAATTTGTCGAACAGGAGGTGGGCATCATGTGTCAATGCGATTCTCCAGGGCGCTTTCTGGATTAACCAACCTTGTATTCAACAGAAGGTACGCCTTGGAAGAGTTGATAATCCGTAGTTGCATTCCTGTTTGGCATTAGATGCAGTTTTAGTGGCTGCAAATTTCTGTTAGGAAAATATTTCTAGGTGTCCTGTTTCCGAGTTGATTGTTTGGTACTGGGCGGATGAAGAAGGGTATTGATTACTGGATCATAAGGAATTCAAATGGAATGGCTTGGGGTGACAAAGAATCACACTTGTTTCTATTGATTTGCTTGAAGCTCTTCTTATGTGTGCATATGCCTTGTCGCCCAAGGTCGTTCTAACTAAACTCGTCAAATGATCAACCCAGATTTTTATCGCTTTTGCATCCAGCGATAATCACAACATGATCCTTGTGGTTGTGTATCCCAGTATCCAGACTGTTGACAGATCTTTCCCTAAAACTGTATGCCCCTTTTTTCCTTTCTTTTTTGGGTGAAATATGTCCATTTGGAATTATCAGAATTGTAGAAGAAGTACCAAACGCCAAGAGGAAACGTCTACTCCCGGGGAAACTCTCTCCCCGTCGACCTGTCCCTGATAATATTTTGAAGCCTCCTTATGTCGACTCTCGGCAGTCTCCTGGAATCTCGAGCGGAGCTGAAGTGCATGATGAAATGGGGATAGAATGCATGAGAGCTTCTGGAAGACTTGCAGCACAAGTGCTTCAGTATGCTGGGACTCTAGTAAAGGTAATATGACCACATTGTTCGGTTTTCTGAAACGGTAGAGGTTGAAGAACAGAGGTACTGTATGTGTCTTCAGTAGTTCGAGATGCAGAACTTCATCTTAGTTTGACAACTATTGATTCTTTTGGCAGCCAGGTGTAAAGACTGATGAAATTGATGAAGCAGTGCACCAGATGATAATTGAAAATGGTGCATATCCGTCGCCTCTAGGATATGGTGGATTTCCAAAGAGTGTGTGCACGTCGGTTAATGAGTGCATTTGCCATGGCATACCAGACTCTCGTGAGCTAGAGGTGCTTCTGGTTTCGATGTCTTATGCACTGCTGAACTTTTATGATGTATAGCTCGAAGTTATACCCTACTTAAGCTTATTTGTTTCTTGCACTTTTGCAGGATGGTGATATAATCAACATTGATGTCACAGTTTACTTAAATGTAAGGACTTTTGCGCGAACATTTTCTTGCATACTCATTTCCAGAAGGATATGGAAATTTGTGACTGAGCTGCCTTTCATTCCATGGTTGCAATCCCCTTTCACAAGTTTGGGGTCCATTGTTTGGATGTAACTTGATATTATGTGCAGGGTTATCATGGTGATACATCAGCAACTTTCTTTTGTGGAGATGTTAGCGATAGTGCCAGAAAGCTTGTTCAGGTAACCTTTTTTAAGTGCAAACTCTGTAGATTAGCTAAAATGCATTTGCATACTAATTGGAAGTTTTGCATCCTTGTGCTCTAGAATTCAAAGGATAAATGACTTGTGAATGCAGGATTTTGTCTTTTTGTGTCTGTTCTAACTATGATTCTAAGTTTTAGCTTCACTCTATGTGACCCTCTGCTTACTATCCTTCAGGTAACCAAAGAATGTCTGGATAAAGCAATCTCGATTTGTGCACCAAGGGTGGAGTTGAAGAAAATTGGCAAGACTATACAGTAAGAACGCTCACTTTAGTACTTTGTTCATTCTTCGCTCTCCCATTAGTTAATTTGAGCAGAAATGTGGGGAAGATAGCATTGTTTTAGCAACTAGAGCTCATCTGAATCGGCCAGTTCAATGTGGCATGTTTTCGTGCGGACAACAATACTTTCTCTTGAATATTTGTTATGTTGCTTAGTCCAGTGTCTTGTGAACAGTACTTACTTGTATTTGAACTTTATGATGAAATCACTGACACGTTTCCTAATTCTTCAGTTCATCCCTGAGACGGCCCAGTACATCCATCACTTGGAATTGATATGCCTTAATTGCTTACTAAATCGTAGTTTATATGCTCTTTCCAAGTGATCATGCAGATAGACATCGGTACGGTGTTGTTAGGACCTTTGTTGGCCACGGTGTTGGACGTGTTTTCCATGCTGATCCAGTTGTACTTCACTACAGTAAGGGCCCTTTGCCATTCAGTTTGTTTGTTACTAGTTTAACTTCCCCATCTCCGTAGCAAATCATGCTATATATATATATATGTTGATTGATGGTGATACTAACAATCAGACCGATGTTTTCAGGGAACAGGGAGGGTGGACGCATGAAGTTGAATCAAACCTTTACAATCGGTACTATTATCTTAACCCAAGATCCGGCTTCCTTGACAAGTTCTTATGTGCTCCTGCTGTGTTCTTTATTTATTGTGAAAATATGTGCTCCTTTTCTGCAAACAAATATCAGTTGAAATTTTTAGGAACTCCGCATATTCCAGTTCTGTGATCTGTTCTCATGTACGTCGTTTCTTTGTCTTGTATATGCACTGCAGAGCCCATGCTGACAATGGGCAGCATTAATCCGGTGATGTGGGACGATGACTGGACGGTGGTGACCGAAGATGGAAGCCTGTCAGCTCAGTTTGAACACACCATTCTCATTACTGAAGGTGGAGCTGAGATACTGACACAATGCTAATGACAAACTAGCAGAATAATGTGTTGGGCCAAAAATGCTTTCCAGAGCATGCATTCTGATTCTTTGTACGTCGTAGAAGGTATATTTGGTTGATTGGAATGAATTGTACCGTCTCTCTCAAGAAGAAACTTTTGGATCCAAATAAGTTTTACATGCGGTATTTTAAGCAAATATTAATATTTCGTATGAAGTATTAATATAACATATTGAATCCACAGTATCAAAACGTTGAGATGGCCGAGTTGGTCTAAGGCGCCAGATTAAGGTTCTGGTCCGAAAGGGCGTGGGTTCAAATCCCACTCTCAACAATTAATTTTTTTCTCTTCTTTTCTTTACTTTTTCCAGTCGATACAGAGGAATTAAGATTTGAAGCAACCATCGTCTTTGCGCTTCTCCTCCAGCTAGCCAACTCCTCATCCTTCCTACCAGCAAGTTTAAAATCACTTCGCCTCAAACTTGCCATGCACAAGCCCACCAGAGTCTCCTTTGGCATTCCCTTGCACATGTTAGCCAACTTCATTAAACTCTGATCGATACTTCATTCCCACTCTCAACAATTAATTTTTTTTCTCTTCTTTTCTTTACTTTTTCTAGTCGATACAGAGGAATTTAGATTTGAAGCAACCATCGTCTTTGCGCTTCTCCTCCAGCTAGCCAACTCCTCATCCTTCCTACCAGCAAGTTTAAAATCACTTCGCCTCAAACTTGCCATGCACAAGCCCACCAGAGTCTCCTCTGGCATTCCCTTGCACAATGTTAGCCAACTTCATTAAACTCTGATCGATACTTAGCAACAGTCATGTCTGCCTCAAACTTGGCCCGTTGCTCTGGCGCCCACCTTTCTGCACTCCCATACCGGAACAAACTGCCACAAAGATAGAGTAGAAGCGCAAAGACGATGGTTGCTTCAAATCTAAATTCCTTTACGAATTGATTTTAAACTTACTGGTAGGAAGGATGAGGATTTGGCTAGCTCGAGGAGCATTACATGTCGTTTCCAAAAGGCGACAGGTGGATCGAGTGGAGGAGCAGTGACCGCAACTACAACGACATCAGGGTCGCGGCGCCTACTGCAGCAGTTGCATTAGCAGTGGCTCAACAAGGCCTCGCTTGCCATCAAATGGCTATGTATGATTCACTCTCACAAAGATAGAGTAGAAGCGCAAAGACGATGATTGCTTCAAATCTAAATTCCTCTACGAATTGATATTAAACTTGCTGGTAGGAAGGATGAGGAGTTGGCTAGCTGGAGGATCATTACATGTCGTTTCCAAAAGGTGGCAGGTGGATCGAGTGGAGGACACCTTGCTGGTGGAGGAGCAATGACCGCAACTACATCGACATCAGGGTCGCAAACGCCTATTGCAATAGTTACATTTAGCGGTGGATCGACAGGGCCTCGCTTGCCATCGAAAGGCTTTGTAGGATTCACTCCCACAAAGATACAGTAGAAGCGCCTGCCGCCTTTTGGAAACGACATGTAATGCTCCTCCAGCTAGCCAACTCCTCATCCTTCCTACCAGCAAGTTTAAAATCACTTTGCCTCAAACTTGCCATGCACAAGCCCACCAGAGTCTCCTCTGGCATTCCCTTGCACATGTTAGCCAACTTCATTAAACTCTGATCAATACTTAGCAACAGTCATGTATGCGTCAAACTTGGCCCGTTGCTGCGGCGCCCACCTTTCTGCACTCCCATATCGGAACTAACTCCCATACAAATAGCTTTGTACGATTCACTCCCACAAAGATAGAGTAGAAGCGCAAAGACGATGATTGCTTCAAATCTAAATTCCTCTACGAATTGATTTTAAACTTACTGGTAGGAAGGATGAGGATTTGGCTAGCTCGAGGAGCATTACATGTCGTTTCCAAAAGGCGGCAGGTGGATCGAGTAGAGGACACCTTGCTGGTGGAGGAGCAGTGACCGCAACTACAACGACATCAGGGTCGCGGCGCCTACTGCAGCAGTGGCTCAACAAGGCCTTGCTTGCCATCAAATGGCTATGTATGATTCACTCTCACAAAGATAGAGTAGAAGCGCAAAGACAATGGTTGCTTCAAATCTAAATTCCTCCACGAATTGATATTAAACTTGCTGGTAGGAAGGATGAGGAGTTGGCTAGCTGGAGGAGCATTACATGTCGTTTCCAAAAGGTGGCAGGTGGATCGAGGGGAGGACACCTTGCTGGTGGAGGAGCAATGACCGCAACTACACTGACATCAGGGTCGCGGCGCCTACGGCAGCAGTTGCAATAGCGGTGGCTCGCCAGGGTCTCGCTTGCCATCAAATGGCTTTGTATGATTCACTCCCACAAAGATAGAGTAGAAGCGCAAAGACGATGGTTGCTTCAAATTTAAATTCCTCTGTATCGACTGAAAAAAGTAACGAAAAGAGAATAGAAAATCAATTGTTGAGAGTGGGATTTGAACTCACGCCCTTTCGGACCAGAACCTTAATCTGGCGCCTTAGACCAACTCGGCCATCTCAGCGTTTTGGATGCTCCATATGCAATATGTTAGATTAATACTTCATACGAAGAATTAACATTTGCTTAAAATACAGCAAGTAAAACTTATTTGGATCCAAAAGTTTCTTCTTGAGAGAGACGGTACAATTCATTCCAATCAACCAAATATACATTCTACGACGTACAAAGAAAATGCATGCTTTGGAAAGCATTTTGGCCCAACACATCTTATTCTGCTAGTTTGTCATTAGCATTGTGTCAGTATCTCAGCTCCAAGACAAATGAATGTATCGTTTATCCACGCTCGTGCATTCACTTAGTTGTTATTAAAAGAGTCTATATCTTCTTCTTCCCCTTTGAATCTTTATTTCCTAAGCCGACGTTAGAGATATCATGTAGATATACTAAATTGGCAAATTCTATATCATCAGTCATCTAATTAACCACCTATTATTTTATTTAGCCCTAAGCCCGTGATTAGATGATCTAATTCACCGTCCCCATTCACAAACTCGTGGTGCATCCTATTCATGTTTGTTCTCCAGATCTCTGACGGCATCGCATGAATTCCTTTTCTCACGAAGAAGCGGGTCATTGTCTTCGAGTCAAAGTTGTTGATTGGGCTATAACTGGTTTCATTTTACTTTTTTATTAAATCTATCCCTCTACTATTTTTTCACATCAGACATGCTCGCGTACTATATAGTATATACGTTTTAACAAATTAAATTTATCCTCATTTTGTGGTTTATCTTCTCCGTCTGCAACACTCAATAATTAATAGACAGAATCCCATCGTTTTAGTCAACCCAAAATTTTTAAAATATCTAGATTTGAAATTATCAAAGGTTGTCAACCCGATTTAACCCATTGGTCCGGTCGATTAAGTGGGTTGAAGGTTAATGGTCCAATCGTTTTAGTCCTCTTTTGCCCGAATATATGAAAAAGTCATTATATTGTACGGTGCCTTCTACGGTACCCCGAGTGAAATCCGGGGTACCGCATACCTTGAGTATGAATATGCTATGCAGACCTCGAATTAGCAGGATTTTTGGACCTGATACTATACCCTAACCCTTAATGAGTGAACGCTAGTTCCTAATGATCTAAATCATAAACTATAAAATCTAAGATGGTACATTCATGTTTTGCCTTTATTTGGACGAATCATAACCGTCTATTATTATTCTAACTAAATTGATCTTGGAGTATAAGATTTAGAGAACTAAGACCTAGATTTTGATCTTTAAGGGTTAGAGTATAGTATTATGTCCGAAAGATCTGTCAATTCATAGTCTAAATAGCATTTTCATACTCAAGGTATGTGGTACCCTGGATACCATAGAACTCCCCTATATTGTACATATATATTTATAAATTATAAATAATCTCATCAACATATGGATAATATTCTTCCTCGCCTGGACTATCTACAGTTGTATCTATATGCTATTGTCCGCTATCCTCCTTCGAGCTCCTAAAAAGCACTCCAACAACATGTATTCATCATGTGATGAAGGTCCCACTCCTATGGCAACGGTGTGTGTGTCAGGATTGCAATTAATCAGGAATGACCAAGTGGGAACTGAGCCTGGGGTGTTTGCAAGGGAAGGCAATATGTGATGGCTGGCGAGTTTTACCAATTGTCTCTTTGTCTACAGAATTAACTCAACGGATTTAGCTTACCAATTTGAGGAGCGGGAAGTAGAATGGGAGCGTAAGAGCTTATATTATTCAAGAATTATAATTTGAGTGCCCCTGAAGAGCTTGAATATTATATTAATTAATATATCGTTTGACTTACTAATATGGTTTGGTCAAAATACTACAACAATGCAGCGAAAACTAAAAATAAAATTATTTTAGTTAGAATGATAGTTTTAAATAATCTTATTATGATTGAAAAAGGAACAGACTTTAAAAGTTGAATAGAAACCCACCAAAGTTTACGATGCTATTTTTAGTTTTCATTGAATTTTTTTAAAAGGAAAAGAGAAATGAATGCATTGTTTATCCACCCACATACACTTAATTAGTTGTTAATAAAAGAGTCTATATCTTCTTCTTCCCCTTCTATTCTTTGTTTTCTAAGCCGACGCTAGAGATCTCCTATAGATGTACGTACCAAATTGGCAAAGTATATATCATAAGTCATCTAACTAACCTCCTGCTCTCGCTCCACGTTCTGGTAACTAAGTTAGAACCGCCTTCCTTCCTCCCGGTTTCTTTCAATTCAGGCAGCAAAGTTTTACAACAAAACCCCCAAAATAAATAGATAGATATGGCAATTCAGAAGTTAAAGAAAATTGTTCGCGACCTCAAGCTCGAAAACCTCCTCCTCGACGAGAACGGAAACCTGAAGGTCTCCGATTTCGGGCTCAGCGCCGTCGCCGATCAGATTCGCCAGGACGGCCTCTTCCACACCTTCTGCGGCAACCCTGCCTACGTGGCGCCGGAGGTTCTCGCCAGAAAGGGATTCGACGCCGCGAAGGTAGCCATCTGGTCGTGCGGCGTAATCTTGTTTGTATTGATGGCCGGATACCTTCCATTCCACGACCAGAACATTATGCTCATGTATAAGAAGATCTTCAAGGGCGATTTCCGTTGCCCTCGGTGGTTTTCCCCAGAACTCGCCAAGCTGCTGACGAAACTCCTCGACACGAATCCGGCGACTCGAATCACCATTACGGAGGTAATGGAGAATCGATGGTTCAAAAGAGGGTTTAAACACATCAAATTCA